TCAGCTTTACATATTTTTAAACTTTGCTACCAAATGCATGTGTGTTTCAGCTTACAAGGTTCTCTTTCCCATATATCTGTTAGCCTTATGAACTAATCTTTGTTATCCTTGGCAATATTCTTTGCTCTAAAATTTATGCTGTCTGACATTAATATAGCCACTCCAACTTCGACTAGGTTTAGGGTGGTATCTTTTTCTATTCTTCTATTCTCCATGGATTTGCATATTTATATTAAAAGTATGTTTCTTATAAGCAGTAAGTTGGGTCTTAGCATGGTTTTTTCATATAGCAAGTTGAGTCAGACTGCCTTTTGAAGGCAAATATGCAGGTGGAGGAGAGGGAAAGGTAGGCCCATGCAGCACTCCTTGGAAAGTGTTGCTGGTCACCGTGAGGCCGCTAATGGAAGTGTTGGTTGATCTTTGTTCCTTTCTGTCTTAAGATAAACTGAATTTTATTGCCTAGCAGAGTATAAGGCCTATAAAAATGGCTCAAAATGAACAGTTATGTGTAAGTTATGAGGATAGTATATTCATTTCCGCACAATCCTACTCTAAAGGCTTGTAAAATTAATTTCATGAATATCATGGTGTTCTGGACATTACAGACATCCAGACACACTCTGCTATTAGTGGCAGATTTGCCATGATTGATGGGGAGGAAGGAAAAGAAGGCCAGTAAGGCAACATTGCCAATTTAAAACTATGTCAAAGTTAGCATTCCTTGCCCATGGACCAGGGACACAAACAAGCAAACAAAATTTGGGTGAGCATCAGGCAAAAAAGGGAAGGGTATCTGAGCAAGCCAGATAAACACAGAGCAGACCCAACATTGCCTTTTCCAGCTTTTGAAAATTAATTTTACATGGAAACTTTTCAGAACACTTCACACTTTGAAATTCATCACTTAAAGCATTTTCTTTGGGGCTGAAGATAAAGGTCAGTGGCAGAGTGCTTACCTAATATGTTCTGTTTTTAATTTCCAGGACCTCAACAAATTATAAACTGAAGTATTCACTTCAATAGTTTTTAGTGTATTGACTCTTTTGTAATCATCACCACTACCTAATTCCAGAGCATTTCTAACCCCTCAAAAGGAAACGCTATACCTGTTGGTAGTCAGTCTCAACCCCTCAATTCCTCTACAGCCTGGAAACCTCTGGCCCACTGTGGGTTTATATATTTGTCTGTTCTGGGCATTTCATATAAATACGATCATGGTTTAGGGCATGGCTTTCATAAATTTTATAACAGTGTTCAAAAATATTGGATTATAATACAATAGAGCCACCTGATTATTACTATTGGAAGAGAGTCTGCCTACCTACCATCGTGTGTGTGTGTGTGTGTGTGTGTGTGTGTGTGTGTGTGTGTGTGTG